GTGAATAGCTCACCGAAGTTTTGCCTGCCGAATATCTAATCAAACTGTCAAAACTTCTATATTAACAGTCACTCTTAAAAAACAAATTTACGTTTATAATTATTTTAATTATTCTTGGGAAACCTTATTAAAAATTAGATTATCCAATCATATCAAATGCAAAGCAATATTTAGTTACATACATCTATAGACTTTTCGTTGTACAGTATCATTAATAAAGAAAGTAGGTTACCTTTACTAATTTGTTAACTTTCAATTTGTTTTTGTTCAACTAGAATTCCAATTCGGATAAATTCATCATCAATTATCCGTATCCAGATTAGGATGAACAAATCAGGTATCTAGATAATCAATAGTGATAGTAAACGGATAACAGATGGCAATATCCAGATAAACGTAAGTTCAACAAGCTTAATTTTTTCATATTTATTCACGAAATCTAAAGTTTGCTTTTTTTTACACTTACGCAAGCTTCCTAATATTTTGGTATTTTATCAACAAACATTTTGTTTTTGTTACATCTATTCTACATTTTAATTGGTTATTCTACAATTACTTTATGAGAATTATTATCGGAAACATTCAAAAATTATATCATTAAAATTTGATAATTCAAATTTGTACAAAATGAGAACATGTCAAAATATTTATGCTGCTAAGGGAAAACCAAATTTGGACTTGCAAGTTTATTTCTGTCGGACTTAATCACTATAAAATCTGATATGCTTAATCCTAAATCATAAGTTTTCCCCTGGCGTCACCTAATATAATGTAAGGTTACTTTTATGAGATAAAACCTTTAATAACTAATGGATTATCCGTTTATTATATTTGGTCATTATCATTAGTAGTTAGATCTGTATCTTATTATTAATATATATTAACGTTAATGAACCGAATTTATTTTCTACAAAAAAATTAAATCATTATGGCAGCAATAACAACGGAACAATTTATTATTATCGTTAAATCATGTATTCCTTTGAACATTATTTCTATTGCTTCTTCTTCTATCTCATGCGTGACCTTTGGTTTAATACGAACATATTATCCTGCTCTCTCTGATCGCATTTCTTTTCGTTTAAGTTTTTTTGCCTTACTCTGTGATATAGCCTATTCTTCGCATCTTATATTTATTATGTTCTGGGATAATACTCCAGGTTTTTTGTGTGAATACACAGTAAGTATTTTTCTTAATAATTATCTTTGATTTCTTGCATTATTGTAATCAATAGATTAATTTCTTTGCAAAAGGTTTGGGCTCGCATATTTTTTAGTCATTTATCTCTTTTCTTTATCGTTTGTATAGCCTTGGTATCTAATTTAATTTTATTTAATTTTAATTTAATTTTAATTATTTTTCTTTTTATTAATAAATTTATTTTTTAATTTATTTTAGAATCTTCACATAGTATTTATATTCGAACTCAAAAGTCGGTTTAATTTAGAAAAATATTATTATATATTTTCAATTGGGCTTGCACTTTTACTCTCTTTACTTCCTGCTGTCAACAATTTGTATGGTTATAATTATAATGAAAAGTATGTATTTAATTTTATTTATTTCCTATTTTATCATATTTATATTCATCGTATTTTATTTATCATATTTATATTTATTTTTTCACGCGCGTTAAAATTACAGAAATTGTTGGTATCGTAATTCAGGTCAAAAAGATAATGTTTTATGGGAATGGCTTACGCTTTTCGGTTGGGTAGCTCTATCTGTCTTGTATTGTGCCATCGTTGTTATTTGGGTCTTTATAAAGCTCTATTCAGTAACGAGAAAAATTGATAAAACTTTTGAATGTTTACAGACTTCACAATTATCTGATACTCCTACTTTAATCAATAAGACTGTGATTTCTTCTGTAGTCAAAAGAGTCATATTGTATCCTGTGGTACCCTTGATAACTCAATCTTGTTCTATTTTTCAAACTTGTGCTTATTTATATAATGTGTTCTCGTTTACTCTATATTTACTTTGCTTCATGGGCATTTCAATTCAAGGTATATTTTTTCATTTTTATTTTGTTCTTTATAACTATTTCTTTTATTTATCAAATTTCTTTTATTTATTTGTCTTAGGCTTTGCAAAAGCCATTGTATTTTCTCAAGACATTGCCGTTACTCGTGCTTTCCAGGCCGTTAAACTCCATTTGTGGATCTCAATTGTTAACCATTATGAACACAAATATCCTCATCATTCTCATGACAAAGCGATTTCTGATGAGCTTTACACCAATAACGATATAAATAATAATAATAATAATAATCATAATAATCATAACGATATTAAGAATAATAACATCAATAATAATACAAATAATAATGTTGATTTACAACCTTCGCTATCCGAATGGCTAAAATATTTATTATTGATTAAACTTTTTTCCAAACCAAAAAACTACTCTCAATCAATCTCACTTAAAATTTTATCACCTATCAATTCAAATAATACTCCATTATCTGTTCAACTTGAAAATAATGATAATTCCGATAAACCTAATACAATTGATAAAAATACTTCTATAATTTCTTTTGAACCTGTTCATTTAAAAAATTCTTTTCAATATTCCTCTTCATTAAATTTATTATCTAATTGTTTATATCCATCTGATTCATCTGATCCTTTAATAGGTAATTCTAAAAAATTTAATAATGATAATTTATATATTCCATTTAACTCTACTACAATAGTTACTAAAGTTAGTGATAAAGAAGATTTTAATGTTAATATTGATAATATTTTAATTGTCAATAATGAAAATATTACGAAAAGAATGTCTGAAGATTTTAATAATGAAGTTGAATTATATAAAGAATTTCTAAAAAAACTATAACAAAAAAAAATTGTAATAATATTACAAAAGTGTATTCATAACCAGTGAAAAAAATTCAATATGTGCATGTGTGCTCAGCAAATAAAATTTTTTTGCGCACAACAGAAACATATTTATATGTGCAGCTCGCACAAAAAATTTTTCAAATTAATGCTAAGCTCACATAATTTTTGAAATACTGTTAAAACATAAAGTTGTAATTAGGTACGTTTTGTGCACCTAATTTCAACTCTGAATTTTTTACACTGTTAATAATATCAAGTAACATTATTTTATGTAACAGAATTGCTATCTTCAGAAATTTTAAATATAACTCGAATTAATTAATTTCATCCATTGATATAGGGTAAAAAAAATTAATATCATTATCATTTAATAGTAATAACCACTTCAATTTATTGATAGTAATAACCACTTCAATTTATTGAGAAATATCTCGATCACTTTTTAAATTATATTGAGGGAGCTGCTTGAGAACTCTCTTAATATCTGCATTTAACACCACACCATGAATCTTCGACAAAATTTCTATAAGAATTATTTGCACAATCTCGATCACTATCCAATAACATTGCGAGAGTTGCTTGACATATATCTTATAACACTAATAAATAAAAAACAGTTTATTTTATTTAAAATACTTGACCTAACTTAAATTAAAATACGTTAGTATTTATGTTTCAATTTTGTTATTATTTATTAATAATAAAAAACACAAAATTTTGTCAAAGAAATATTTGTTGTGTTAGACAAGGTCAAAGGTATATAATTTAGAAGTTAGCATTAACTCTCTAATCTAACCCGGATCTAATTTAATTGAAATATATCACTTAATAAATTTGATAAATGCAAATAATTTAATATTCATACCTGATATGTGATCAGAGCTCACTTCCCCCATCAATAAAAACCTTTAAGTTTAGTACTATATCAATATTACGATTACTTTAGCAATATAATAAAATATCTGGGAAGAAAAACACTACGAAACTAGCTCTACTGCGGGAAAAAAGAAAAGAAAAGCTCGTTACTGCGATTTGTAAGGTTACGATTATGTCGTTTGCGATCATGATCAGCATGGAGCTTCGACCATTACAGATCAAATTGTTATATCAGTCTCAAGCCAATATTTGGATTGGTTGGCAAGGCCTCACTATAACAAGTATATTGTAAATACAAAAAAAAAAAGAAAACTAAACTAAAATTGTTTAAATGAATTTCTACAAACTTTAACATTTATTTTAAAAAAAATTATTAAAATTTGTTTAAAATTTATTTAGTTTGATTTCTATTGACAGCAGCTCATGTTAGCTTTAAAAATTTCGGATCGGGTTCGAGTCGGGTCGGGTTCGGGTTGGGTTGAAGTGCTAACCCGAAAGTGTTTCAACCCGACCCGAACCCGACCCGTTCGGAGCACTAAGTACAACAAATTAAAATTGTTGAAATAAATTAGAGCAATTAGATGTGATATAATATAGTATATTTCTAACTCACTTTACAATTCAATCATCTAGTTAGTAATAGTAAATTTATTCGCCATAACTCCTGAACATGTTTATTATTTGTTCGAAGTAAAATATGAATCCAAAATCTATACCAAAATCGGTTAAATGATTCAGATTAATCTATAAGTTAAAAAAAATAATAAAAAAAATAATAATAAAAATAATAATAAAATAATAATAAAAATAATAATAAAAATAATAATAAAAATAATAAAAAAATAATAAAAAAAATAATAAAAAAAATAATAATAAAAATAATAATAAAAATAATAAAAAAAAATAATAAAAAAAAATAATAAAAAAAAATAATAATAAAAAATAATAATAAAAAATAATAATAATAAATAATAATAAAAAATAATAATAAAAAATAATAAAAAAAAATAATAAAAAAAAATAATAATAAAAAATAATAAAAAAAATCTACGACCAGAATTAAGGATTTAAAAAGAAATATGCCTGCATTATTGTTATTCTAGAAGAAACGATTAAGAGTCGTTTCTGTTTTAATTTTACGGTGCCGCTCACTTCACCGACAGTCATTTCACCGAAAGTTCATTTAGCCGACATCACATGGAGTTAGGGTTTTATTAGTTTCAGGTATATATTTTTAGTAAATTGTCACTTGGCGTGATGTTGGCTAAATGAGCTGTCGATAAAATGATTGTCGGTGAAATGATACGGATCCGATTTTTTACTAACAATTCAAAACCAGTTTTTATTATGTCGATACGAAATCAATTTTTTGACGCAAAATTTTCTCAAAATATCAGTGAATCCGGATTTTTACTATGCTACAATAATCACAGATCGGTTTTTTTGCATTTAGAAACTTTCGCTATAAAAATAAATTATTAACCGGTTCTACAAAAAATAGTTATGCAATTTTTAAATAGTGATAAATTACTGATCAAGCTTCTAAATCAAAATTGCAGGGACATCAGAAAAATTCTTAAGAGTAAGGCTCTAACCCAATTAGACAAAAAATATTATTAAAAGAATTTATCTCTTGAAGAGTTACAAAAAAGTGGTCATAAAGATAGTTCAACAGATGAAGAAAGTAAATTTCCGATATATAAAACAAGCCCAAAGATGAATATAAAAAAGCAGTACTTATATGATCTCACTACTATAGTGCAATATTATAATTCTAATGAACATTATGCTTTGAAGATTTGTAAAAATAGTGGACATCATGGTTTTATACGTAGATGGACAGAGAGCAATAAATATCCTAATTCGGTGCTCATTATTTCAATAATGGCGATGATTTACACTTTTATTAAGAATAGAATTAGGTAAAAAAAAAAAAAAAAAAAAAAAAAAAAAAATAGTAAATAATAGTATTTCCCTCAGAGAGCATTTTCAATTAAGCCGCAGAAAGCGAAATTTTAATAATAACATGTAGTCTAGGGGAATTTGGTGATTATAAAATAAAGTGATAATGAAATCAAAAAATTATAAATTTACGTATTATTTCGATCACAGGATCATAATGATACAATTTTTACCAATAAAATCGTTGGGTTCATAAGCATAATAAAACAATCAACCAATCGATAATTAAAATCAATAGAAAAATTTAATACAACTTATAAGCGGTTTCATAAGGGTTAAATAAGCAATCTACGTATAACTTAACAATTAATCAATCAAATTCAATCATACAATTCAATTTTAATATTTTATTCCCGGCAATTACATACATAATATCATTCTTAACTAATTTTTAAAAATGAACTGTTATACGCTATCGTTATATCCTTATCTTAAAAAATTTATCAAGATCTTAAAAAAATTATCCAATAATATTTAATTGATAACAATAATTTATTCACGGGGAACTAGGTTTAGCGTTAGGTATAATAAAAAGATGATGTTTTTTTTTTTATCAATTAATCAATTACATCATGCATGATTCTGACTACCAACATTCGTCATTCACTTTTGAATCATATAAAAATCCTAAAAAATACATGTTTTGTTGTTTTCTTACTTTTCATATCTTTTCAACTTTTTCACAACTATAAAATTTCTTTTGATTACACGTTAACAATGTTAAAATTAGAAGATATTAATATTAAAGAAGCTCGTAACCTCTTAAATCACTATGTACTTCCTCGTGATGGTACTGAAGAAGAAATACAACAACAACTTGATGTTTTAGACTATCCAACTGAAGAAAATACTATAGAAATACGTTCTGACGAGGAGTATGGTACGGAAAATAGATATGATCAAAGGGACGATGATAATAGTTACGTTCATGATGTAGAAATTTATTCCGAAGTTGATGATAGTGAAACACGCGAACGAGATGATGATATTGAAAGAGATAAATTCGTTTCTAAACTGAGGTGGAGTGATGATCCTTCTTCTTTTAAAAGTGTGGACGATAATCCAACAGAAAATAACAAAGACGTTGAAATTACTAACGATGTTGCTTCGGATGGTTCTGATTATTACGATCTTCCTAAAAGCCGAAAAGATTATCCAAGTGAAGATGAAAGAATTGACAGTGCTTTAGAGACTAGTTTACATGATTCTGAGGAAGGATCTGTAACTTCTTCTCCACCAAGGTTGCAAACAGTATCTCCTAAAGATGAAAATACTCCCGTTCAAGTACCAGATAATTCCATTGTTAATATTGGTGATGTATCTTCGTTGAATCTTTCTTCTTTAAACCTTCAACAAGTCGATTCGTCAGATCTTGATCCTAATGTATCAAAAATAGTGAATCCCATTGTTAGTAGTATTGCAGATCTTAAATCTGATTTCCACGCTGAATTAGAGAAATTTCATTATCGCGTCGATCCAAAAGTTATTGGTTCTATGAAAGGATCAGATGAATGGCAGCAAACTGAATTTGAAAAGGCTCAAGATCAAAGTCATTATGATGCTGTTATTACAGCAGGAAAATTATTAGATCTTATGTTGACATTTATTCTTCCGAATGAAGCATATGAACATATTTCTCAAGCGCGTCACATTCTTTGGGAAAAAGCATTGTTATATCGTCTTACTTCTTCAACTGAGTCTCTACCATCTTCTGAACCTCCTCATTCGTTTGAACCATACACTTCAACTAATTCTACCATTGATTCTGCTAATAAAAGCATCAATACTGTCAATAATTTACATTTTGACGAAAATAATGCAGAACAATCTACTTCAAGACAATACACCAAATCACAAGAAGAAACAGTCGCGAATCAAGCTTTATTAAATGATGAAATTGCAGAAAATCACCCTGATTCAGCTAAGATGAAAGAAACCGGTGATCGATCACCTGTTACAAATGGAACAACAAAATCTCGTCGGTTGCCAAATCAAAACCGCAGGTCTAATAGAGGGAGACGTAGATCAATTAGTGTACAGATTGAAAATTCAACTGGTAGTGGGTCAAAATCTTTGCAAGATTCAACATCATCTCGTGATGCAGAGCGACAAGATGATATTCAGTCACTTCGCCTTTCAGCAAGTCCAAAGGCACCATTTAGATCTCGATCAAGAAGCATCGTTAATATTCCAACAAATAACCGTCGCTTTGTTGGATTTCTACCTTCTAGATGCTTTACATGTGGTGGTATTGGTCATTTTGCGAATAATTGTCCCAACAAAGGTAGTTATATTACTACTTTGTCACCTCAACAACCAATGCGTCGACGACGTTCCACCCGATTCAAACGAACTCCTAAGATTGATACTAATTGTGAATAATAATTGTGTGAATAATAATTGTGTATGTTGGTCATTGAAGATTGAATTTGAGAAATAAAAATCCGGTGGATGGATTAATGCTTTATATTTTAGCATCGTAAACTCTAATCGATGCCTTAGTTTTTTTTTTTTTCATATTGCTTTAGTTTTACTTTGTTAAACATTTCAAAGATTTGTGCATAAGAGTGACTGTTAATATAGAAGTTTTGACAGTTTGATTAGATATTCGGCAGGCAAAACTTCGGTGAGCTATTCAC